GAGAGGCCGCGGCCGGCCACAATGCGCCGGCTCTGCCAGGCAAGGCTATAGGCCAAAGGTGCTGGAAGGCCTCTGAAGGTGCCGGGGAGGGTTTGGGGTGCAACCAGCCAAAATGCCTAACGTCGCCTGGAACGTCGCCTGGCACGTCGCCTGGCACGTCGCCTGGCACGTCGCCTTCGGAGGCCCATAAGAAGAGAAGAGGCAGGCCTCGGACAGGCCGCAGAGAGGCCGCAGCCGGCCACAATGCACCGGCTCTGACTAGTACTGGGTGCTCGGGTTAACTTGTCTCGAATGGCATGAACTTGTGCCAGATGAGGTGTGCCGTTGGGGGAAAGCTTGATTGGGCTAAGTTTTTGTATGTATGTTGTTGTTGATCACAGGTTGAGAATTCGACCAAACCGCAAGGGCACACTGTTGATTCTGTCTCAAATGTATTGTACTCCCAAGTGCGCCGTTGCGATTTCATGTTTTTGGCTTCACTACATTGCGATTAGGTATTTTTCAACAATCGTTGCGAAACGGTGTCCCCAAGCAGTTTTGTGTCTAGGAGTGTAGACGATCATTGTTTGGTCATTTCATACTGTGTATTTGTTCTTTTTGGTGACTAGTGCTTGGAATACAACCAGCCTCAAGTTGCGCTTCCCAACCAATGTTGGGACAGAAAGGGGGGCAGGCCTCATTTGCCTCGTGCATTTGTTTCTACATACTGGGTGCCTGTGTTAACCCCTATCGTGATCAAGATCGTATGGAAGCCGGTGTGCCATTGCAGGGAGCAATCAAAGCAGTGCAAACTAGAAGAGATGAGCAACATACTTCTCCATCTTATTGATGCCAGATCTGCGTGGCACACTGGCTTTTTCCCGTTCACACTGCAATGTGAAACCAGTATACCATTGGGGTGAGCTATCGAATAGCTATGAAATTGAACTTGTTTCTAGAGGTTTCTTTTGTCAAACCATAGTTGAAGCCTTTTCGAGAAGGCCCCATCTCCATCAAAGCGGATGAGCGAGGAGCAGTCTGATTAGTGTTTTTGAGAAGTCGTTGCGAAGCGTGTCCCCACACAGTTGCGTGTCTATAGGGGTGGAGGCGTTTGTTGTTTGGTAATCTATGGTAATCCATATATGTCGGGCTTGCTGCTGGTTTTCTGCTGCTGCTGCCGCCTTGCTGCTGCTGGTTGGCTACTGCTGCTGCTGGCGGTTGGCTGCTGTTGGTTTGCTGCTGGTTGGCTGCTGCTGGTTGGCTGCTGCTGCTGGCTGATTGCTGCCGGTGCTGCTGCTTGCTGCTGCTTGTCGCTGCCGCTGCTCCTACTCATTTGCTGCCTGTCATTGTTTTGCACGCCCTATGATTATAGCAGGTTTCTTCCATTGCAGACTGGGCATTGGAAACATGATTTCAAGCTTGGTGGCAGGCCTGTTTGGTGAAACGCGGTGCCTCCATGCGGAAACAAGTATCGCAAGGACGTTGCCGTGACATAGTCGTGGCGTGGTGTCCCAGTATATGACTGGTTGCCACAGCTGCGTTGCGTTGCAAGGACTTTTGTGTTTGGGTGTTAGTGGGCATGGGTCTTCTGGGCAAACGTGTTCATCTCGCCCAATACCTCGCCCACATCTCGCCCTCTATCTCGCCCAACCCGCCAGGCACCAGGACCAACGCATATGTGTAAGAAAAGGCCTCTTTAATTTACATGGGCCCTCCAGGCAAGGAGCGATTTGCAGGGTTCATGTCTTCAAGCGTTCATGTTCACATTTTTCGCAGGTGTGCCATGCGGAAGGAACGCGCGCGCGCGCACAGACACCAAAGAAGGCAAAACGCAAGCTAACCATGGGTTTTGTCGCGGTCTTAGCATACTTCTGGCAGAGATCGGAAGCGGGTGTGCACACCGTTTTCACTAATCCCACATCACAGATGATTTGGTTTCTAGCCTCTGTTGGTTTGCTGCTGGTTGGGTGCTGCTGCTGCTGCTTCTGCTGCTGCTGCGCTGTGCTGTTTTGCTGCTGGTGGTTGGCTGCGGCCAGTTGCTGCTGGTTTGCTGGCGCTGGTTGGCTACTACTGCTGGTTAGCTGCTGCTGGCTTCGTGCTACCTGCTGTTTGGCTGCTGCTGGTTTGCTGCTGCCGGCTTGCTGCTGCTGTTTGGCCGCTGCTGGTGGGATGCTGCTGGTTACCTTCTGCTGCTGTTGGGTTGTTGGTGTTGTTTTGCTGCTGGTTGGCTGCTTGCTGCTGCTTGCTGCTGCCGCTGCCGCTGCCTGCGATACAAAGCCTACTCATTTGCTGATGGCTGATGTTGCACAAACCCTATCATTGTGGCAGTGTTGTAAACTGGGCTTGGAAGCATGGTTTTGGCTTAGATGGCCTGTTTGGTGACGCGGTGTCCCATGCGGAAATTAAGTGCTGCAAGGACTCTGCCGTGACTTAGTCGTGGTGTGGTGTCACAGTGTGCTTGGCTTGCCGCAACTGCTTTGCAAGGACTTTCGCGTCTGGGTGGTTACCCTCGAGGTAGGAACTTAAAGGTGGCGCCAACATGTGGGTCAGAGGTGTGCCATGGGGATTGGACCATGGCAGCCCATAGGAAACCTTAGAACCCATCAACATGTAGAAGATTGAATCGCAATGGAAGGGTGTAGGTTTAGAAACAATCTAGGCTAGGAGAACAAGTGCTTGTTCCGAAGCGGTGTGCCATGGGGATTGGGAGAGGAAAACACGCAAGAATGAATAGATATATGTTTGACGTTCCATGCTGTTTGCACTCTATGTAGAAACTGAAAGCTGGTACCAACATGTGGGTCAGAATCGGTGTGCCATGGGGATTGGATCACGGCAACCCACAGAGAACCTTAGAAAACATCAACATGTAGAAGGTTGAATCGCAGTGGAATCGTGTAGGTTTAGAAACAATCTAGGAGAAGAAGTGCTTGTTTCGAAGCGGTGTGCCATTGTGTTTTCCAAATGGGGTAAGTTTTTACATTCGTGGGGTAAGCGGTGTGCCATGGGGGTGGGTCAAGTTCATGTGCGATGGGGTAAGTTAGCACGTTGGGTCGTAGCTCCCGGCCTTACTACTGGGAGCAAGGACGCAACTAGTAGCTCCCGGCCTTAATAGTGGGAGCAAGGACGCAACTAGTAGCTGCCGACCTTACTACTGGGAGCAAGAACGCAACTAGTAGCTCCCGGCCTTACTCCAGGCAGGTTTGGGGCAGCCAGCCAAAATGCCTAACGTCGCCTGGAACGTCGCCTGGCACGTCGCCTGGCACGTCGCCTTCGGAGGCCTATATAAGAAGAAGAGGCATGCCTCGGACAGGCCGCAGAGAGGCCGCGGCCGGCCACAATGCACCGGCTCTGCCAGGCAAGGCTGCGGCGCAGGACTAGGCCAAAGGTGCCGGGAGGCCTTTGCAGGTGCCGGGAAGGGTTTGGGGCGCAGCTAGCCAAAATGCCTGACGTCGCCTGGCGCGTCGCCTTCGCAAGCCCATAAGAAGAGGCCGCGGCCGGCGTTGGAGCATGTTCTGCACATTATATGCCTTTGGAAGTGCTTGGAAGGGTTCTGCTAGGCTTGGCCAACTGCTTCACCCTGCGGTGTCCCAGGCGCCTCCCCGCCTAGGCTTTGGCTAGGCCGGGGTCGGCGGATACTCCAGTCCCATGGATCGTTGGGGTACCTTGAGCCAAGTATCAGGGTGGTTTGCTTTGATTGAACAGAAGCACCATGGCAACCTCTCAGTGGGGCAGGAGAATAAGATACAATGCATTCCTGCATTCCCAGCCACTTACTTGGCCTTACTCCAGAGGTTTTGCTGGCTTCAGTGGGGTTTGACACCTTCCATAGCGTTCATGAAATCTCGAATGAGTCTGGAGTCTGGTCTTCAGCGTTTGGTCACAGCATTTGCCTGAGGATTTACTTCCTTTTGCGACCATGAGCTTCGATGATGAGGACAAGCTCTTTCTGGGAGTGGGATGCCGGACTGTCCAAAAAACATTGATCATATTTGATCAACAAAAACAGAGAGGCTGCAGAACTGATTTCCATTCAGAACATACACTCCCTGGAATGATCATGGTCATCCTCGTACCAAACCGGTGTTTTTTCACTTCCATGACTATTCCACGAATGTAAATAGTTTGGATTCCTTTCCCAGGTTGAATGTGTCCCACTCTTGTAGGTTGGAGGATGTTGGAGGCCATTGCTTGTAGGTTAGAGGCCATCGCTATTCATTTGGAGATGCTCGGCGATGGCCGGCGATTCGGCCAGCTGCGTCTCTTGTAACCAGAAGCTGTCTCTCCGTACACATGACCCCTTCAATGAAGACGACAGACCCGAACCATTAGAGGGGGGAACTGGGGTCTCAGATCCAGTTTTATGATCCGCAGGGGTTGTTGTGGCCCTTCGGGAAGAAGTGTTTCTTGTTCGGAGCAATCCAAATTTTTGGGCCACCCCTGGACATGAAACAAGTAAATGGTGGTGCACCCACTTCAGGTTGGACATAAGCACTAGCAATTTGTTCGAAAGTGCCTGGGATGAAACTCTCCAGCTGGCAGCTCCCTACTTAGATGGGCCAGTGACCCACACTGGATGACTTTCCTGGATAAAGCCTGGATTGTCCGAGCTTGACTCGCCGTTTTGGCCAGGAGGTGGATGAGGACAAGGTGGGCTGGGGGGGAGAAAACTCCCACGTGTGACTTTGAGGGATCGACGCTTCTCCTGAGAGGGGCGAAGACTCGCAACGCGATGCCCAAGTTGGAACTCAGCTAGGAGCATGGACGCTACGAACGGGGCTCCTGGCATCGCTACTAGGAGCATGGACGCTACTAGGGGCTCCTGGCCGTACTACTAGGAGCAGGTAGCTATTAGGAGCAAACCCGTGCAGTAGACTACAAAGCAACTAGCTGCATGTTTGCTTCAAACCAGGCTATTGGGCACGACCTTTCAGGTAGCACAACCCTATGAGAATGCTCTACAGGTTGGAAGTCTACCAAAATTAACATGCATGTGTTGGTGTCAGTAAGTTCAGCAACATCACACGGCCGACATCAGAATTGTTTTGATTTGTCTTCCACGTAGCATGCTGCATTTGCAGCCTTCACACCTTGATGAGACTCCTCGATGGCCAGGAGTCAACAGTTTCATAAAGGTCCCTATACTTGGAACCTTCGACATCCGCATTGGTTCTTTGTGCGGAAAGTCGGGCAAGACTGGAGCAAGAAGCTATGAACGGAACAAAGGGCATCGCTACGAACGGTAGCAAGAAGCTGCGAACGTAGCTCCTGGCCATACTTATAGCAACAAGCACTCCTTTCTAAAACAATTGCACGATGTTGCAGCTTTGCAAAAGGTCTATGTTCGTTTGAGCTGGATGTAGCAGGTGCGGTCCCACCCTTACTAGTACAAGCAATCTCCGTTTGGCCAGGTCAAACGAGAAAGTCGCTCGTCAGCGTTTGCTTGAGGGGTCGCGCATGGAGGGAGCCGTGGTTTTTCGGGTTCGCCCTCCCTCGTGCACTATAGGGCTCCAAATAGAAGGTACTTCGTTGTTCCCAACCTATTCCAAAAGCCTTCGAAACGGATGGTTTTGAGCTGCACAGGGGCCACTTCGTGAATTGTCCTTTCTCATTGTCCTTTTTGCCGCGTTCTTAGGTCTTGTTTGCACAGAGTCTTTTCCAATTGTTTGTTTTCCCTTGTACTGGTTCGTGTTGAGCAAAGCTGCTGCAACGACCTTCTAAGGATATGCATCCGCGACGCAGCAAAGACATGCAATCTCATGCAAAGACTATCTCAAGGTATCTCAAGGTAAAGCTTTGCATTATAAAGATATGCTTTTGTACACCTCTCCAAAGGATGTGCAACGTGTTGGAAAAGAGGACTGACTATAACTATGAACCAAGACTAAACGGCAGAGGTCCATGTCATGTCCATGTAGAGGGAAGTCAACCGCATGATAGCAATATCCATTCTGGTGTACCGGTTTGTTGGCTGCAACGCTCATGTGACTTTTGCTTGCATCGTTTTGGCGGATGCCACGGTAAAACAGCCTCCAGAAAACTCTGTTTGAAGCTGCCTATCATAAATCTACCAGGACCTTCAAAGTGACCACTTTGGAGTCTCTACTATAGCCTACTTTTGTTTACATAATACTTTTCTGCAAACACAGTTGGAGAGATCTTTCCGAAAGATAGGCTTAAACGACTGACCTGGACCGCCTCAAAACCAGGTCCACTTCCAGCAGAAAGGTCCAGGTGCCGTAGGTGGTTATAACAGGGAACTACGAGACTTTCCATGCACGAACTACCTCAGTGTCGGTCCGGATCGAGGGTGCTAGTTGGGTTTACGATCCCTAGGGCTCCAACCATATCCTCAGAAGGTGGTTAGACCCCCCCAAACCCACCCCAACCACCTTCTCAGGAGGTGGTTGGAGCCCTAGGGGATTTTCGCTTCGGATGGACAGGAGCCGTCCAAGGGGAGTCTGAAACGAAGTAGCAGAAACGAAGGTCGTTGTGTGGCTTGGTCGGGAGATCGTTGGTTTGCTGTACGTACGTGCGCGTACGTGCAGCCAAGTCCCAGGGGTCTCCAATACCCTACCCTAGGGCTCCAAGGACCTTCTTAGAAGGTGTTTGGGGTGGGTTTAGAGGGTCCAGTCATACCTTCTAAGGAGGTTCTTGGAGCCTTAGGGCTACACAACTTTAGCCTTGTGGTCTCTTTCCAACAGGAAGCTGGTCGTAGCGTCCCAAGAAGTTGGCCGCTCTAGTCGCATGGTGTCTCCGTTTCTAAAACGCGCCAACCCCGCGCGAATCGGCCCAACTGGCTCGAGCTGTGCACAAGGGGTCTATAGATGTGGCAGTTTTGCACATCAAGTTAAAGTAATTTGTTGATCGTCTTTTTTGGACTCGTTCATCGCTTCCCACTCAGCAAGAAGTCTGGCAAGTGATGAAATAACATGTTGTTTGAGTTAGCCGTATACAGCTTGCTCCAATGGGTGCACGCTCTGAATGTGTCTTCTCCGTCTCCAAGCCACAGACCGACCATTGGCCCACCAACCGAACTCTCTCTCCCGAAGCCAGTAAGGGTCTCCAGCCTCCCTAACCTTTGTTTTGAGCAACCTTTTGTTGAAGTTACGGGTGCAGCTCTGACCTCCGGCAGCGACGGAAGCCGCGGATCCCGACCTCGGACCACGACCTCGGACCTCGTCGTGATGCAGAAAACGGAGGACAGGGATGATTTGAAGGGAAGTTCGTGGGTGGGTTTTGTTTGAAGAGAGTTCATCAATCCCCAAATGGATTCCAAGTCTTAGAAAACACACGCGAGTCAGACGACTTTCGTTTGCTTGGAGACGGCGCCCGGTCTTTTTGCATGGTCTTTCAGAACTGCATGGTCTTTACGGACATGTGGCACCGGTCTCGCGGGGTCTGGCCGTGATTTCAGTGTTTGGGGTCTCACGTGCAGCATAACGCATCGAACGCTTCGTCCCAGGCAGTGAGAATCAAATCCCCCCCGAGACGCTGTGGTTTTCGGAGCTGTCATGTTCGAATTCAGGTGCTTCAGCACCTGGTGAAGTGCCACTGCTGGAAGTTCTACTGTATTTAGATACAGGTATGGTGCCTTCACAATCCTGTGATACCTGAATAGAACCCCGTGGATTTGGACTGTTGATTCATAGCCCTAGGGATCCAGTCGTACCGAACCTCAGATGGTACTTGGACCCTCCAAACCCACACAACAGTACACAACAGTGTCTCCAATCACCTTCTGAGAAGGTACGACTGGATCCCTAGGGTAGAATAAACCCTTTCATACAATCTGGGGACCCTTTCACCGGGTTTCCCCTGAAGGAATCATGGCTACCGTGGATGGTATGTATGTGGAACGAACAGACGACCCCTTGGAAGACCATGAACATCCTCTAGTAAACCAGGTGGTTTTCACTCACTCACTCCATGTTTCACCATGATTTCAGGGAGTGTCCATTCCGGAAAAAAAGGGACGTTTAAAAGACGATCAAAAAGGACAACATCTCCCCTGGTTCTTTCATCGTGCCCGGTCACTGGAGCCCCCCCCCCTGTATGGTTTTATTCTGTCACGGTCACCCCCCCTGTGGGGCCCTGGTGGATTTGATTCCCGGCCAGGGCGTGGTGGGTGGGCGGCCGGTAGAGCCGCTTGGAAGCCAGTCGAGTCAGCGCCTGGAACGGAGGATTCTCTTGGGGTCCTTTTGGTTGACCTGCTGACAGGTGCCTGGATCACGAGATGTTCGTCGATACCATGGGCAGTTCACATGTTTTCACCTTACTGCTCAGACTGGAAGTGGGAACTTCGATCAACATCCAGTGAAGATCATTCTATTTCTATATTGATCATGTTGATTTGCTCACTCTTGAGATGAACATGAAAAGTCAACTACGCAGGCGGCGTGTTTCCATTCAACTTAGTACATCTCTTATATAATAACTTGAGGTTTCGTCCGCGGGAATCAGCTACTGCAATTAGCACCTTCACACGACCAGCACTCGAACTCTCACCAAGCGAGACGAGATCGACCTGGATTCGACCACTTTGGCGGCCCCGCAAGGACCTCGAAGCGTCGGAGATCACGTAAGCATTCAGCAAAACCTCCCCATGGCAAGAGGAGTCAACGTCAGATAGAGGCCCTGCATAAACAAACCTGTGGTGTGCGCAAGGTCGCGTAAGGTACATGCATGTTGATCATTTCTGTTGCGTAGCGTTTGGCTACTGCATTGTTTGGTTTTGTTGGTGTTGCTGTGTTGTGGCCCAAGCATTGAGTACATACCCTGCAATCTCGCGGTTGCGTTTTTTGGGGTCGGTAGTTCAACTATTATACATTTATTTAGGTATGTGAACCACATAAACATCCGCAGCCAAAATTTACATCTGCTGAAAAAAAACAGGTTCGAAAAAACGCTCGTAGCTCACCAATAGAAGCCTGTAGCTTGTGTATACACGCCGGTGGAATATCAGAAAACATCAGAAAGCCCGAGAACATCCGCAGACTTTAAGGCTGTGACTCCATCTTTTTTTAAGCCGCAGATCAAACAAAAGCACTCTGAGGAAGATCCAGGTATATAATATATATATATTATAATATATTACAATGTATTAAATACAGTATATATATAATGGTATCAACCTGACGGAAGGTGCAAGTTTGGTGAATCACAATGAGCAACTACTTAGTTATGGAAAATGACTAGAGAGGAGGCTGAAAGAACCTTCTCCAGTGGGATCTCTGTGGGAGCCGGCATCAACGACGATCCGCTCATCACCACTGTCAGAATGGCAAGTGCCACTTAAACACCTTGCCCGCAAGCCGAAACAAGTGTCAGATGGGCTATGGGTTTGCATGGGTTTGTCGTCCCCATGCCCATGCCTTCCGACTGGCTGAACAAAGATTGAGAAAACTTGGAAGAAATGATTGCCTGCCCGCATCCCGATGCTCAACGAGCAAGCATGTGCAAATGCCCAAGCACTCTGACAAGAAGTCCCAGAAGGAGAAGAAGACGGAACGCCAGGTTGCAAAGAGCAGCCAAGCAGGTGAGCATCGCTGCCAAGGGATGGATTTTTGCGACAAAACGTTGCGCCGTGAGACACACTTACTCGGATCCTCTCACGGAACTGCTACTCCTACGCTGGGAAGATCGCGCAAAGCACGTTCCCGCCGACTGTCCATTCCATATCATACGATGATGATGATCTTTGGTCCAGAACAATGGCAAACATGCACCTTGTGCGATTCCTTTGGGGAACACATGCAAGCTAGTTTTGGAATCCCCGATGACCGAGCAGACCCCAGTGCAGACCCCATAAGATTTCCGGTCTGCTGCAGCTGCTTTGAGTTCATGGCTGCGCATGATCAAGAGGTACATGACTACCTTACCGATAAATCCGAAGAAGCTGGAGACCATGGCAATGCTTGCAGACATGCATGTGGGCCCTGCCCAGGCTGCGTTTTGGCATGATTGACCGCTGCCGTGCCTGTGTTGATGACTGATGTTGGTCAGATCGACAGTTCGACATCAACGAGATTGAAGGTCGTTCGACCATGATGAAAACAGCATCACAAACAGGCAGGTGGAAACAGTGGTAGTGCAGATAATCAACACAAATTATGTGTTGTGTCATTTTTGGTGTCAATTATGTTTGAAATATCAACTAATAGGCCCTTTAGTATAAATTACATAAGATTACAAAATGATTAACAGGAAAGAACTGCTAAGTGTAAATAAAACTAGTCAAATCGTCTAGTTGTGATGTAATTGTTCAATGAAAACTAATATGTTACTATATAACGTTTAACAACCAATAGTAGACTACTATCTAAACAAATCAAATTACATATTGTATATGTGACACATTTAATAACAATGTACGTAAAACTTTATGCAGCGAGTATTTGTAATAAATATAGAGAATGAGTGAATATTAAAGAACTGACCTCTATATAATGTGTTTTATTCACTGGGATATAATTTACAATTATAAAATACAAAATAACAAAATGAGCCCTTGTAGGACACTCACCCAAGCAACCAGAGGATAAACAAACACGTTGTCCTCCTAGTCCCAGTCCATCTTCAACATTTTGGCCAGTCCCCAGACCATTCACTCTCCTCCCTTCAACGTGCTGGTGGTAGTGTGGATGGCATGACTTTAGGAAAAGAAACATTAAATCCAAATACCAAAACGCGGTTCACTCCATTTAACTCCACTTCCATGGTTGCAGGCAGGGGATATGATATATTGTTCACCCCAAATCAGCATTTTTTTGATCACCCCCTCTAAGCCTTCTCAGCTGAAAACGGAGTCCAGCTCCCTATTGCCAAAAACATCCAAAAAACGGTTTCTCAAACCAACCTTCTCAGCTGAGCACCACCTCTTTCAGCCGCCTATTCGACTCCAAAACGCCTCGAGGCTGTTCAACGATGATCTTTTTCGACCTTTGCGTGTCGATGCTTGGGTGTTTGGCAGCTCAGTCGGATCGGATAGGGCGGTCGGATAAGGCGTCCCCTTTCCGACAAAGATGAAACTGGAACCTCACCTTTTTCAAAACTAGTTTCCTCTACAAACAGGGGGTTCCAATGACCAACTGTTCATTGGAGGAAGGACGAACTGATCGTTTGGGCGACCTACAAACCTACGTCTAAACACCACCTTGCCATGGAACTCTCCTGGTACTGTAGCTGCTATTTTGGTGCTTTGGTCACGTCGGATGTTCAAGAGGAGCTGGAGGGTCGGCCTTTGTGTACATGGATGGCGACTCCATATTCAAGTATTCAGACCCACCTAATTGTGATCCACTTGCAGATAGGCGACAAGATTGACATACCAAAATGGTTTTGCAGGGAAACGAGTCGGTAGTTGGCCACACCGATGTTCGTTGGAGTGTGCTTCAAGCGTGTATGAAGATTGGTTTTTGGTATTGGGGTCAGAAACTAGACATGCAGCATGTTGAATGAACATCTATGCAGCTTCCCAAGGGCTCCTGGCCCACATCCTCAGCCGGTAGGAAACGATGCCCCTGGTACCCACCCCAGTCGCACCGAACCGAAGCGGAGGGGGCGGCCAGGAGCCCAAACGGGATTGGGGCTGGCAGTTGGTGATTTTACAACCCCTACACCTCCAAGTACCTCCTCAGAAGGTATGACTGGACCCTCCAAACCCACTCCAGTCCCACCTTCTCAGAAGGTATGACTGAGGCCCAGGGAACAGTCTCAGATGGTTGTTTCCATTCACCCAGGCCGCGTTTCTACCTGTCGTCCCATCCAGGCCCGATGACTTCCTTCATGGCTGGTCTTTGGAGAGCCTCAGTCCAGGCAGGATTTAGGATCCATTGACGTGGTTTGCAGGTGATGAAAAGGGAAATGGAAGATGGAGCTTGTTGGCGTGTTTCTCAGACATGAAACGGATGTACCGATGTACCTGTTTTGTTTGTTGGGCTGCGTGTCATTGCGGCTAATTTATATAGTAGCAAGAACAACTGCGTGACTAGGACTACTAGTAGGAGTCATTCCCAAAGGGCCCGCCGTCCACTTTGGAGAGTCCTTCCCAAAGCGACAACGCCATGGTGCCATTGACCAGGATCGCATCCGGACGTGGTCCGGTCTGTCGGGCCTTCGAAACGGAAGCGATCGGATGCTCAAACAAGTTTGAGCGCCTTCGTCAATCTGACCTGTTTGGCGTCCCTTGACCAACGTGGCCTGTTTTTTGTTTCGGGTGACGCTTTGTGACCGAACCAACCGAATGTATCAGGGCAGGTCACTTTCAAGAACCAATTCCTGGAATGGTACTTACCAAACAACAATTGTTTTACTGAGAATTTTAGACTATAAAGTCAACCGACCTCTTTTTTGAGGGTCTCTGAAGTCTAGGTTCCTAGGAGCTCTATAGGGTAATGTCCCATGTTCCAAGGTACTTTGAAGGGTTCAAGTATACCCGGGGAAGCGAGCCAGGAAAAGGCCAAAGTGCCTTCTGCTTGTGTTAGGAACGCGGGTTCGCAACAAGAACAGGTGGAATATGCAAAGTTTGGTGGTTTCATGACTTTCCAAACTGAGGGAGTCACGGAGATTAGAGAAACAGGTCACCCGGTCCATCCATCGTGGGATACCGGTCCAAGACCACAGCAGAGGTGTGAGTCCGGCGCCCGAATCGCTGCCAGATCGAGACACTAGTCACTATAGGCTATTGGGTGAATCCTGGGTGAATCCTGAAGCAAACACCCCCACCTCCGTTGTATGACTGAAACGGCACCACCGGACTGAAAAACCCCTTTTGTATCAGTTGCGGTGGCGCCTTGAACCGAATCGTGCGTGTGTGGCCGGTGTGGCGGAACACGGAGCTCGAAGGTTCACTGCGTTCGCGGCACGGCACCGGCGGAGGCGGCGGCAAAGGAGGGACCATGATGTCCCGCATCGAGAACTATCTCGTCAAGGAGCTGAGCAAAGGCCCGGCTCAGCGGTTCGGGGGCAAAGAAGAAATGGTCATCTGTGGCTCGAAGATGGAGTCAGTTCACTGGAGCCCTTAGTTGGGCAATTCGGGGAGCCATAGAGATACTGACCAGCTCCTTCATCAGCCCAGAGGTTGATGATGCATTGGCATAGTTTGTCCTCTCCAAACGTGCGCCACTTTTCTCCTCCCAAGAGGTGATCAGGAGTGTCACGTTCTCAGAGGTGGCAGAGAAAGAAACGTCGACGTTTGTCCTGGTCAGGCCTAAAAGGACTGGAAGCTTTGCAGAACATGGTGCTTTCTATATTTCTTGTAAAGGGCAGCGACAGTTCGAGCAGTGCACAGGTGATCATCGAACCTTGCTTCAGATCACCAAAAGCTACTGTCACCTTGGCCGCAAAAAGCCTTTTCTGCCACAAAGAGGAAAGGTCCATCTACCACTGGTGGTGGCTCAAGCGCCTCAAGCTGACCGCTTCCAATCCCAGACCATCCGGACTGGATGAGCTACTTGCATGACAAGGGTCATTCATGGGGTAAATGCATATAACTTTTCCAGTCCCATGGATGGTCTGGGCATGGAAGCTTTGGTGTGCAAGTCAATGCTCTGGACTCAACGGGGCGGAAGATGATTGCAGAACGGGAGAGCTCACTGATCCGCGAACCCTATCGTGTCATATATATATATACATTACCATAGGTTCCAGGTAGCTCCTGGTCCTGAGGATGCTACTTTTTGAGAATGGTCAATGTTGTTTTGGGGCTAAAGGACATCCTCAGGTCCTGGACCTTTCTGGCATTGGATAGACATTGATGTTGCAGCTTGAACACCTCACCCGGTGCCCATGCGGAAAAAAGCCTCCGCCTACGTAGAAGGTGGTAAGTGGAAGTTGTCATTACAAACATCCCAAAGACGGGAAGGTATGCGTACCCCTGAACATATTCATTACGTTCATTGAGTGTTTGGCTTTGAAGTTGAAAGTTGCAAAGCAGCTTTCTGTTGTGGCTTCTCTATGTGTGGGTTTGATGCATGACATGTCATGACACATAAACCGAGTCGAGATGATACGAATTCATGCGAAAACACATATTTTGTGGTGTTCGCCTCTGAGTCTGATCTCGCCCAGGCGAACATATGCAGAGCGGTCCATCCTTAATTTGCCCCATTTTCTTGCACTTTCGCAGCTCGGCCTTGTTCGTGGCCTCGGCCGCCTCGGGTTAGAAGGAGGCTGTTTTATTTTGTCCATTTGTCCATTCGGATTTCAATTAGGGGGGTCCTCCCCACCCTATGACACACCCATAAGGGTCAGGATAACAAGTTTCAGGTTGAGATCCCAGGTTGTTTCAAGCAACATCTCCTGGGCAAGTCTACTGTTCGCAGAATTGTATAGTGTTGTAGTACCGGTTGGGATCTACCTTCGGCAGGGGTTTGGGTTCCCAAGATTCTTTTTTGTTGGGGGGTTGATGAATGGCTACTTGTTGGAAGTGTTGGATGAAAATCAGGTTGCAGCCACAAGCCCTTGCTTGCACCATGGACAACCCGTGGGACATGCTTTCCCAGCGTGGGGCCCGGTTTTCGACCTAAGGAGATAAGGCATCAAAGCGTGTCTTCTTCGCCATGCGGAGACTCGGCACATGAGACGATGTGTCATGTCATTTGTGTACTGAACTACGGAGACTCTCTACAATCAATTGGAAGAAGAAAAAAGTCCCGCGTGTTTGGAGACTCACAAGACCTGAATACCTTTCGTCAGGCGGTAGACCAGTGACAGGCCCCCCCTGAGTGGACTGTTTCGAGAGGTTGGTTCACCTCGAAGAACACCCTGTGGCCTTGGCTTCTACCACACCCCCACTTGGCTTCCGGGTTCCAACCCTCCGGTGTTCCACTGCTTTTGTAGCAGGCAGCAGCGGGTCCGGTTCCCCCGCGCGCGCGGAGAAGTGAGACTGGAGCCAGTGAACAGAACCCTGTCCAATGGCCTTTTTGGCCCTACTGGATCCTTTAGGGTTTGGACACTTGGAGCCATGCATACCTTGGAGCATCCCAGGACGGGGACGAAGCCCTGGGAGGTTGCGGGGACTTGCGCATTTCTGTTTGGGTTTGATGTCTTAAGCTTCTTCTTCAAAAAAAATGGGCGGTGGATGTTCTCTTTGAAAGATGATCGCGGAATATCAAGGATGCCAGGATTAAAGAATACTAAGTTCAAGCTCATGGGACTTCTGGTCATTTCTTGGGTGGAGGGCTGCCTCCCATTTTCCAGGTGCCTCATGAATTTAGGAGATGCTTCGCCGCCGAAAAGAGATGAAAAGAGAGCCTCCAGAGATCATTCGAATACCTCGAAAGTGAGGCGCTGTTGTTGAGTTGATAGTGAGTTGCTGTTCTAACTGCGCTTGTTGGCTGGGGTGTTAGCTGCGCTTGTCGGCTGTGCTAGCTCGCTGGGTGGTTGCTTCGGTGCAAGGGGCCTTTGGGTTTGGGATGCTCACCACTCTCTCCAGTGGACTCTGGCTCTTAGGAATTGCGTGGGCGAAGGCCCCTTCAAGGCGCGAATGAGAGTTTTTTTTAATGTTTTTTCCATTTCTTATCCATTCTTATCCCAAAGTTTTGGTGACGAGAGTTGTTGTTTAAAATGTATATGTATTATATAATATATACCTGGAGTCTCCAAAGTGCCTTAGAAAATGTGACATGACCCCATAACAAAAAGGTACAAGACTACCCAATTTTCCGAGGTACTTTGAGACTCCAGGTATTATATATATACATATTGTACTGAGTCCAGGAGTTCCGAAGTTGAAGGGTGGGAGTAGGGCCGGGATGTCAAGACAACACATCCACTCACTTAAGGAATATTGTCAAGACATTCCTGAGGCTCCATGTTCAGTGTCCGTCACTGGGAGTCTCAAATGAAATACCCCCAGAATATGGAGACAAGTACCAGGTTTTTATATGGCCATGTCCCATTTTGTTCGCTACTTGAAGCCAGGTCCAGCTAGTGGCAGCTAGTGACCATTGCTAGTCTAGACAGTGGACCCCTTGTTGGAGTCCTGGCATGAAAGAAACGCCCAATGGAGGCGACCTGAATACCGCCGAATACTGAATTCGTTTCTTGGTGAACCTTGGTGGAACGTAGGTGCAAGAAACACCTCCATGCGTCATGTTTGATATTGTATTATATATACCAGCACCACCCAAAAGGTGGATATAGGATGGAAATTACATGGTCAGGGGTCTAGGTCTAGGGGATATAATGAGCAGGTTCAGGTTGGTCCGCCCGCAATGACAGGCCTTGTACGACCTTAAGGGTTGTGCAGATGACAAAAGCTTGGAGAAGGATGGGAAACCCATCCGTGCAGTGCACAAGCGGATTTGGATGCCCGGCTGAAAGCCCACCAGCGCGGAGTTCAGCGGGCACTCGATTGGGATCCGCTCAGTATGGGCCTTCCAGTTTCAGCGCAGACAGGTGCAACGGTTGGATTGTCCCATTCGACTTGGATTGACATTGAAAGAACAAACATTCAAGACCTACTTGAGGAGTGGTTAGCCTTTGTTTGTTTTTGTTGAAATCGTTTTGCCTCATGGAAGGGACACAGGTGGGCATGATGGCTTGTGGGGGGCCGCATCTATTGTCCCTTTCAGTCTGTCTTTGCAAGTTTTGACACTTCCCTGTGGCAATTCTGCATGTCTCAACTGAACTGGCCTTGGTTCAGGAATGTTCCTATGTGGAGCTCCTGTTGTTGGTCGCAAGCACGGCGTACCTACCATGCGGGCAAGGTGGAAGCGCGAAAGGCACGTAAACAGATCCGGGGGGAAACGAACTATACTGCGCGCAACACACTTCTCTCACACTTACCTGGTTCGTCAAAGTGACCTTTTGATATCCTAATTTGAGGTCACTTAAGCCTCCCAAGGGTCACTTAAACCCTTACAAGGTCACTTTGAAGAGGCTGGTACGAGGCACTTGTGGTTGTGAGATTAAGCCGTTCATGAGTGGCGCAGAGAAAACGTAGTCTTTGGCTGACCATGGCCCTCCAGGGCGCTGATCTAGCTCTCACTGGTTCCGTTCTGCACTAAGAGAATGACCCTCCAGTCACCTCTTCACAATCGAGGATGACGTCGACCAATCACTCTCCAAGCACGAGCTCATTCGAAGCTATACCCTAAGACTCCAACCATCTCCAACCACATCCTGAGAAGGTGGTTAGTGGCTGGACCCCCCAAACCCACCCTAGCCACCTTCTCAGGAGCTAGGCCAGGAGCCCAAACGGGATACAGTGTTTCTTCCGACCCAAAGACGAGCCGCACACTGTGCTGTGCGTGTCCCTCCCGTGGCTTCTCGCTGCGGTGTCTCACGGCGCCACCCCTGCGCGGCTTGGAGGTGCAGATTCCCATCTTGTCGTCCCAGAAGGACACCTTCTTAGAGGCGATGCGCCGTGATGTCTCCTGGTTAGCGGGGCAACGGCTCATGGACTATAGCTCCTTGGGTCCAAAGGAGGGAAAGATGGGAGAGAGTTTGGAGGAGTTTGGGGAAGCTTTTCGGCTTTGAAGGAAGAAGATGGGAAGAAGATGGGCAGAGGGAAGGCTGATGGCCTTCAGGTGCGCTTGAATTGATTAATAGTGAAGACTCTCTGGACATGACAAGGAAGATGGTGGGAGTGAGAAGCAGAACTGTTGTGGATTTTGAGGGTTTGGTTCTTAGTGCTCGGCCTGGCTTTTTGGTTGTCATCCTTTGAGTGGATGTATGTAACACCTTCGAAATGCATGGTCATGGCAATTCCGGTGATTGACAGCTTGAAAGTCCTATCTGTAGCGACCGGCTAGGCGCAAAGAAATACATCCACCTGGCGCAGCTGTGCTTATCCAGGGTGGCCTTGCCGCTTTCAGGTCTATTGGTGGCGATCAAAGACCACAAGGAGACGCCCACAAAGGGCCTTCCTGCAGGTCAGCCCTATGTCCGGCAAACGCCTCTTGGTTTGCGGACAAGAAGCGCAGGAACGTGTTGCATTACCCGTGGAACTGTCAAATATCTACAGAATGATCATGGACTGTGGGTGGAGCAGTGTTTGGTGTTGATATGTTGTTTAAGTGGAATGTAGAGTGGGGCAACCCAACTTGGCCATTTGACAATTTCATGATTGTTGTTGTTTGTGCTCAACATTTAATCGTGCAGGTTGGGCTTTGTCGTTTCTGTGCGTCTTGAGGACATGGGTTTCCTCCCCAAATCTGGCACCGTGGACCAGCAATGATGAACAGAATGAAGCGGGGTATATGTCACATGTTAGGGAGGCACCACTGCTGCGTGTTCAAGTGGGTGTGTATTGGGGTAGCGAGACCCTCCAACCAATGGGTTTAATTTTGTCTTGGTTTTACCAGTCTCCTTTGAATACACACCCATGTACCATTCCATTTCCATACTATTCCCCTTTCCCATGCAGAGGAATCGCTGTTTGTTTTTGAGTGTGAGCCATCATCAAATATTTGTATACATACCGACATTGACCCTGAAACCACAGCAAGGCTCATCATTGTATCCAATCAACTCCACTGAGTGCCACAGCAGGGATTGTTGCACTCAGAAGTACCCATACTGCAGCTAGGGCCACTAGGTTTTGAACAGCATCACATGCAATTGGCCAACTTTGCTGGTCTTCGCCGGGCAATTGCAAGGCACTGCACCCTAGAGATCCTGCCCAGACCCATGAACTCTCAGAAAGCACTGACATTCAATGAGACATGCCATGAAATGCATCCGAAGAAGATGATGCAAAAGGCACCACACACCTGACTTTGAACTTTTTCCTTTTTTTTTTGCTTGGTCTTCCCAGACACTCCATGTGCCCACATGGAGCCCCTGAAATCAACCGCCCCAACTGACCAGTCATCCTATGGCTGTCGCCCCAAACATGCCAAGGCGCTGTCAATGACACTTCCAAAGACGCAGGTCCTTCCTTCACCAGGTCCTTCCTGTTCACCACCACCTCCCACCCTCCGCCACCCCTGAGACAGGTCGGAGGGTCCCATCGCAGTGCAGATGTCCATCATCGACTTCCTGCGCCTTGGTTCCGCGCCAGTCGTACGGGGCGGAAGCACCGGCTGGGTCAAGGCGGGCCACGGAGCGGACGTGGTCCGACGACCGCGGGGTTCAGAGGCTGAATGTGCTCGAACGCCGCCGCGTTCTGGAACGAGCACAGGTTGCTTTTAAAGGGTTTTACATGGTAAGTCCAGTTGGTGCGCGACATGTCGTGAATTTGAACTATATAGGTTCCCTCCACCGACCACTGAATTGAGGTGCTGATTTGTAAATACGTGGGCATGGAGGAGGCTTCCAAGATGTAGCATCTTTCATATCGCTTTCATTATCCAGCAATTAGTAGCTGTAGGGCCTGGTGTAAGTGCTCCACCAGTACGCATCCCACAGAATTAGCGAAGTCGTCGATTCCAATACACAGTACCTGCAGTCGACCCGTTTGGAAAATGGGTACATGGACTGTACTTGTTTTTGACACAGTCATGTCCGTAGGGCTCCAACTACCCCCTGAGAAGATGGTTAGGGTAGTGGTTAGGGTGGGGTTGGGAGGTCTAACCACCTTCTGAGGATATGTTTGGATCCCGAATCGAGTGAAGTCAGGTCCAGGTGCACAGCTGCTCACCCGAAGTGCCAAAAACCGATGTGCCAAAACAAACGTCTCAGATGTGAACCTCTTCCCAGGCAACGATGGACGATGGGGAAGCGTTCCTTGGCAGAGTCGTGCTTCAGTGAGTTCTTACCATCACCGTGGGATGGCCGCATCACAGCACCTGCCAGAATCACTTGAAGAATCCATGCATGGAAGATGTGAATAGCCCCCCTGAGTTGCCATTGGCATCGAGATGTAAAATATTGATATATAACTATATAATATTAATATATTATTGATAAATATTGTAAAGAATTGTACAACCATTCAGATTATTAGTTAGTTATTGTTTTCATCAGCAGTCAATATTGCCGTCGACATCCATTGACCCTTAGCACCACATATCAAGACATCATATTTTATACACATAGGCAATTATTCCAGTTCTTGGGGAACGGGGCAGAACCTGGCACCCTGGGGCGCCACAGGCGTTGCTCGCGCCATCAAAGTCTTTGAAAGGAGCCTTGGCAGGGCCCGTCGGAAGGTGGGTCGACTCTTCTTCAAGGATATATCCCGCACTTGCATCAACTTGGTATAACCTGGTCATTGACCTGTATATATATATATATATATATGTGTGTGTGTCTTTGTTTAACTTCCATCAAGTTGCAACAATGAGTTTGATCAAGCTTCAATATATGTTTTGCACGACTTCACCATGTGCCAGTCTACTTTCTTCAATGAGTACAATAGTTGAACAGTAAATCATGATGTGGATTTCTATGTGCAGCCACTGTTTCTAGCAAGTGAGTTACAGAAAGGCCATTTGTGTGTCCCTTGTGATTGCTGGGACCCCTTGTTTCCAGTACTCCTCGCGGATCGGGTGATGGTTCTTTTCCGCATGAAAGTTCACTCCTGCCCAGAAGCTCCGTTCACAGCCCGACTGGTCCCTCAAAACCTAGGGACTTGAGACCCTATATTGAGGGTACGACCCCTCCATGTGAGGGTCCATGAGCGTTTGGGCGGAGAATATGCCCGTTTGCGCTCCTGTCCCATCTCCTCAGGTTCGGTGGGCCCGGGCGCGACGCCCCGACCAGCACGCCCCCACCCCCTGACCCAACAAACTGAAGTAGAGGCATGCCAGGAGCCCTGGGGCCCGAAGGGATTTCCCCTTTTTTTGGCCAATCCAAGGATGACATCTGCAGGATCTATCTTCGCGAATCGACATCCATTCATCCGAATTCCCCCCTCATACCCTGGCCAAAACGGATGGCCGGGCCTCACGACGCCCGTGGCGGCGGGAAGATCGGAACATTCACCGTGGCGTGCAACGAAGCTTCACGTGCGCATCAACCGGGTTTTGGAGGGTTTTGGTGGATGTCCGATTCTTCCTGGGGGGGGTCTAATCTCGGTCTTCCTCTTTGAACCATGGCCCATCTGTGTGGTTCTTTTTGGCTTCGTTTTCAGATAGAACTTGATTCGCTTCGTTTTCAGATAGCACTCGGTGCGCAGAGCGACCGCCATGGGTGACACCGTGATGAGAACTGCCAGGTGGATCGGAGCCCTGATGGCGGTGAATAGAACACCCCCTCTGCCAAGAGAGGTTGAGAATGGTTGAGAGACCTTAATACTGTAGGACCATGTAGTGGTACATATGATTACATATATATGGGATGGGCTAGGATAGACTGGTTCAACCTCGGATTGCACGTGCAGGGTTTGAGAATAGTCTACAGCAGCGTTCCCTCCCAGAAAATTGCCCCTTGGGAAACACTGACTGAGGCCTGACCCAGCTTTTGCGCCAGCTTCCAGTGCTTGGCGTGTTCACCGGTACTTCGCCAAGACATGTTCATAATATGCCTACTGTTCATCGAAAATGTCCGACCCCTCGCATAAAACAAAAACTTGAAACAGAATCACCATCAATGCCCCTTAAATTCTCGCACAACTCGGCTGGTGTTGGTCGTTCTGAGCTGGTGTGCTTTGCTTCTGAAAATCCTTGGTGGCTCCGCTTCCAAGGAACAAAGCGACCATTCCGCCGCGCGCCTACGCGGCACGCTTCGCAGTGCATTTCACGCAACACGTGGTCACCGCGCAGGAGGGCGCGCGGCGCGCGGAGGGCGCGCGGAGGAGGCGGGGAGGCGGGGCATCCAGGCCTCCCGGTCAAGCTCCACCTATGTGGGCCTGACTTCAAGTGCCTTAGAAGTACCTTGGAAATCCATTCAACCATGAAAATGAAATGCGAACGACCTGGTGTTGTAGAAAAGTTGACCCTCCTAGACCCTCAGATCAAGGGGTCGAACCCTCATATGTAGGGGTCTCAAATCCCTAGGTTTTGAGGGACCAGTCGGGCTGTTTGGAGTGTTTGGGCACCCCATACATTTGGAGTTTAGTCTTGGAGACATTGGAGACACCCGATCGGCCCTGGTCGGGGAGGTCTCATGATTTTACCCTGGGGCTCCTGGCTTAGCTCTGTTTCGGTTCGGTGGGCCAAGGGTGGGGGGCTGTCCAAACGGGCAAATACACACACATACACTCTGGTTGCCTCAATAGACTCGTTTGCATGTAGAGAGTCCCATTGCACATATTGCACACACCCGATACCCGGCATGTTTCAATAGCTCAAGTCTGTTTGTGCTAGGCAAATAGGTCCTTTGGATCAAAGAAGTCGAAGAGCAGCAACAACAAACGCAAGACCTACCAGAACACCTCTTTGATCCTCTTTATTATTTGCCAGTTCCCTTACTGGTAGGTCCAATGAATGCACGGCGTGTCCACGGGACTCTCCGGGTCCGACCTCCATGGTGCTCCATCCACAGGACTGGGAGGTGAATGTTCAGGGCTTGATGTCGTTGCAGCCCAAGGCGGGGCCGGACCACCCCGAACCCGCATCGCGCGGGGCGCCCGTGGACCAGCGAGCGGCGTTGAGTGCTGGGGGAAGCGGGGGCAGTCAGTCAGATCTTCCAGGAATTGACTTGGCCAGGAGGTTCCGGTTTTGACTCGAGGTGACGGTTCCAGGAATCGACTTAGCACGCTCTTACGGTAAGAAGGCTATCGCATTGCTCTCAGAGCAGACCGGGTGGATTGTGAGGAGAAAGGACCTGAGGAATCTCCAGACTTCGAATGACGCAAGCATCGCAAGCGTTGTCCTGCTTAACTGCATTGCACTGTGAAGGCTCGGATGTTCTTCACAACTGCGACAGTTCATAACTGGCAGATTCTGCATATATTGGTTCATTCTCAATAGATTAATGGTTTTCACATGTTTTCACGATGATCCTTGTCAAGTTGCACGAGTCAAGTCCTTGACCCACCGAACTCGCCGCCTGCACAGGCCGAGGATCCTCTACCCAGTTTTACCTTGGACAAGTCGCCTGAGGAACACCGGTTCCGCGCGGAAAGTTCCGCGCAGTGGACCCTATGCTTTCACCCAACCCACTGCTTTCATCCATGAAGACTTATTTTACTATGAGGTGGTTTCAAAGGGGTCATTGTAGGTCAATCTTCCATACATAGAATGCTTGGGAATGTGTTGGGGACGTGTCAGGAGGCCCGTTGCGGGTGGTTCTTGCATGTTGAACCCGACTCAGACATATCCGTCTTGCGGAGGTCCCATGTCTTGTTTCATCACCACCTTCAGGGAAGTCCTAGAAGTGAGATAGACAACAAGGAACTTGAGATTTAATGGGTATATAATGGTCAATGAGCTTCAGTTGAATGATGGAGATATTCGGATATATACAGATCTGTTGTATATATATATATATATTACAATATCCTTTATGATGGATGATATACATAATGGACATGTCTACAGTCTACACTTCCAGACTAGAAGACCACATACCAGAGAGGCTTCTATGACTCCTGCGCCTTGGGATGACAAGTAGCTATACAAACGACTTGTCTCGCTTGTGAACTTCTAGATGTCTGATTGATCCTATTTTGCTTACAGTACTATTTATGAGGCTTACGCCTGACAGCCGGGCGCCGGCCTATTTGGGTTTGGGTATGTGCAGGGCTGGGTCCTCTCTCTCTCTCTCTCTCTGTCTCTCTCCCTCTCTCTCTCTCTCTTTGAGACTTGGTGGGGCCTATATTTAGCAAAGTCAAGCTATCTGGTGCGCATCTTGGCCCTAGGTTGGGCCAAGTTGAGCCCATGTGGTCTATGTTGGGCACATCTTGGGCCATGTTGGGCCTAGGTCGGCCTACGTTAGGCCTATGTTGGCCTAGGTTGGGCCTATGTTGGCGTATGTTGGCCCCATGTTGGCCTATGTTGGCCCTATGTTAAGCCATCTTGGAGGCTATGTTGGGCATATGTTGGGGATATGTTGGCTATCTTGGGCCTATGTTGGGAATATGTTAAGCAATATATGTGCCCAACACTAACGAAATGTCGATTAAGCCTGCCCGCGTGGCACGCATAACCGACACCACCGGCGCCCTGTTAGGCCAGAGTCGTGTCCGCCGAAGGCCACGAAACACTGTAAAAAACGATGTTTTTGAACATTTTTTGAACAGCCTGCGCCAGATACATATGAATCGGTCGACACGGGGTTGACACGGGGTCGACACGGGGTCGACACGGGGTCTCCCCGCGGTCCAACAAAAGGGTCGGCGGCAGGGGCGGCGAGCGTATATAACCTTCGGTTACCAACCGAAGGCCTCCGGCAAGGACACGGGCCCGTGGCCGGCGCCCGGATTTAAGGGCTGCCGCCCAGTGCCGCCGACCCCAGGAAGGGAGACAAAAGAGGTGTGGGGCGGACAGAAGGCATGGTGACGCGTGGGTGGTAGCGCAGAACACATGGGGACACCGCGGCGTGCTGCACCGGCTATGTGGAATCCCCAATGTGAGGAGGGGCAGGAGGGGGTGCTGCATCGGCTACGTGGAGAGGAGGGGGCAGGGAGGGGGTAAGCGTTAGAGATATTAAAGGGGGTGGGGCAGACAGAGGGCATGGTGACTCCACGGTCTGCTGCATCGGCTACGTGGAACCCCCATGTGGATGTTAAGGCAGTGTAGACGGGGTGGAGGTAGAGGGCGCAGGCAAGAGGGATGAAGTGGGAGACACAGGAACGGAGGGACGTTTACTTGGGGTGGCAGTGGGACATGGTGCCAGTATAGGGTGCAGGCAAGAGAT